GTCGACGTAATCGTGACTAGTTGACTAATCGTGGCAGCCCTAATGTGAAGGAAAGCTGCTGTTCACCTTGTTTGGCTAAACTTCATATCGATATGACCTATCTATGACCTCTGGGCCCTCTGCAGGTGCTGCTGGAGAAGTACGGTTACCTGGAGAACTTCCAGCTGGTCGACGGGCGCCTGCTGATCTGCACTGTGTCCTGTCTGTTTGCCATGCTGGCTCTGGTCTGGGACTATCTGCACCCCTTCCCCGAGTCCAGACCCGTCCTCGCCTGCTGCGTCATCTCATATCCTTCAGACGGACACATCTCACCTCTGCTTTTAAAAAAATAAGATGGTGAACTCACAGTGTGTCATATGTTAAACATGTGAGGGGAAAATGTTGAAATAAGATTCAAAATTCAGAAACGACAGATGAAAGAGAAAAACGTAAAAATGTTTTTACATATTAAAAACACCGAACGTCTCATGAATGTCACTGAAACACAAAAACAAACGTTTGTAGAAATGATTCCGTCTAATATGATGATGATGATGATGATGATGAGCGTGTTGGCTTTCCCTAACTCCTCTTCCTCACGTACTTCATCATGATGGGCATCCTCACGCTGTACACCTCCTACAAAGAGAAGAACATCTTCCTGGTGGCCATGCAGAAGGATCCAGCTGGGATGGATCCAGACCACATCTGGCAGCTCTCCTCCTCCCTCAAACGGTCAGTGAGTATGGGAATCAAACCAGCAACCCCCAGCAGTCTGCACATTTCCTCATCTGCGAAGGACTCAGAGTGGATCAGTTTGCGTCTGTGTTTTCCAGGTTTGACGACCAGTACACGCTCCGGGTGTCCTTCTCCGACGGGAAGTCCAAGAAGTCGAGAGAGGCGGACTTCACCAAGTCGGTGTCGGCGTTCTTCGACGAACACGGGACGCTGGTGATGGACCAGTTTGAGAAGAGCGTTTCTAAACTGCACGACACGCTCGCCGCCGACAAGAAGACCAAATAAAAGACGGGAAGCAAACGTGGTGTGAGTCTGCCTCCTCTGTTCCTCCTCAGAGTTCACTGGTTTCAGCGCCGGCTCCATCAGGAGCTGCCAGAGGAAACTTATTCATGCATTCATATTAAAAATCTGAAATCTGCAGTCTGTCTGTTTTTACCACCACGCTCTGAACAACCCCGGAGGTCAGCACGCTCAGCCGCAAACCGGCGGCCGCTCCTTTATTAGACAGACTCGGCAGCAGGCGGAGTCACAGGTCCGTGTTGCCCACTCGTGCTCCGAGAGTGGGAATGATCAGAAACCAGTGAACTTCAGGAGGGACAGAGACCAGAGTCAGAGGCTCAGCTCCACTCTGAAGGGTTTATTTTCCTGTCACAGCTAACTGTCACTCAGAGGTCAAAGGTCAGGTGTTCTGTCAGCAGGTTAGGAACATTTCAGCTATTTAAAAACAACCTGAGACTCAATGCGTCTTCACCGGGTCTCCAAGTATTAAAGGTTTAAGGACCGCTGTGTGACATGGCTGTGGTGGGCGGAGCCTTACGTAAGGGTCACGGAGGTGGGGAATAAGCAGCTAATGATGGCCAACGGTTTAAAAATAAAATGTGATTTTTTCAGTGTTTAAAAAAGTAAAGTTTTCGTCATTTTTTTCTCTGTGATGTGAGAATCAGTTTGAACTGCAGCAGCAGGTGAACTAACCGGCGCGTCGGCTCACAGGCTGACGTGTTGGTGCCGTACAACAGGAAGTGGACATTGATCAGACCTTTATTTTGAAAGTTTTTTATTATCAGATGCTTTCTCTGTGTTAAAAAAAACATTAAACTTGGATCTTGTTAGAGAAACATCTGGATGTGTGTCTCACTTTGAGTTCAGCTCTCAGCCCCCACAGGGTCACCTGCACAGGTGAACCCGGTCAGCAACCTCTGGGTGTGGCTTTGGTTTGTGTGGAGGTGTTTGTGGTGCAGCACCGCTGTCCGACCAGCAGGTGGAGAACTCAGGCTGACGTTCGCGTCCACAGGCAGCAGCCGGCGTGCAGCTCCAACACTGTTCACACGGTTTCTCTTAAAGAGTCAGTGATTGGACACGTGGAGGGTCTGAGCACCGTCAGGCGTTGATGAGGTTCAGTTTTCCAGCAGCGACGTCTGAACTGACAGCAAAACGATGCTGATTTCAATTTAAAGAGGGTCCTGAGTTTGATTCGCCCGCCTGGCCGGTCCATTCACAGGTATGAATGGTTGTCTGTCTCTGTGTTAGCGACCTGTCCAGGGTGTGCCCCGCCTCCTGCACTGTGGTAGCTGGGATAGGCTCCACCCCCACCATGACCCTGTTAAGGATAAGAGGATGGATGGATGCAGTTACATTTTAACCTGACTCAGTCTGCAGCACAGAGATTGAAACTAAAGTCGCTCTTTGAACTGTAAAACATTTCAGAGCTCACGACGTGAAACAATGAAATCGAAGCTTTTAAAGATTTCCTGATAAAAACATGTCAAACTCCAAACCTCGTATTTGGCTTCAGTCTGCAGAAACCAAACTGAACAAAGTTACGTCAAATAAAATCGTATGCAACATTCGTGCTGATGATGTAGAGACCGTCTGATACTCACACGTCTTCAAATGGCCTCTGAGACTCCACCCCGAAACCAAGATGGTGGCAGCTAAAATGCTCAGGGTCCAAGAGGCTGAAGCTGCTCAAACACAAAATTTATGTGAAACACAGGAGTTTTTAACCATAATGAGGTCAAACTGGTTCAAATGTAAACTGTTGGAGTCAGCCCGGCACACGGCTGCTGGGTTAGCATTAAGCTAAATAACACAGAAACAACAACAATCAGACAACCGCGTGTAAGCACGACAGGAAGAAGCCCCCAGCAGACTCAGAGGGAGCTCTGCGGTGAGTGTTTGGGATCATCGGTCTAAAGACCTTCATCATAAATGAGCGTGCTTAAATTTGGTCTGTTTTCCCGTTAATCTGACATTATCCAGGTGGCAGTGTCCATCTGTTATTTACAGGCTGTGGGTAGAGCACCTGTGGAAATTTTTTTGTTTGTTTGTTTTTAGGTTACAAACACAAATAATAAAAAAACGCTGGCAGATTATTGTACATGTTTTTAAATTGTTCTCTTTAAGGCAGCACCACTGATGTTATTCACTGCTCACAGAGAGGGGTGTGGCCACCAGACAGGGGTGGGGTTAGTGGTGAGGGGGCAGGGCCATGAGTGCAGGCTGCTGCCTGTCAGTGAGGCACTGATCAGATGTGTGTCAGAGTGCTGCTGTCTCTCGGCCATGGCCTGTCTGATGGCTGCCTGGTCCGTCCACAACCCCACTGTCACCAACTCCATCATCATGGTGAGTATGAGGACTCCAGAGGTATGATGAGGGGTGACTCTCTGTGTCTCCTGCTGGTTTAAGGAAAGGAAACAGCTTTCTAAGCAACGAGACCTGTGTGGGAATCAGCCTGAATGTGACAGTCAGCTGTGTGAGGCTCAGCAAATCTCACATGTTTGGGTTTTAAAGAAGTTAACAGTCCTGCAGCTCCACTGCACCAAGGTCAGCTCCTCAGGGAGGAAGAGGAGAGTCCTGATGATATGAGCAGAGTTCTTCTCATGATGATAATATGATTTTAACTTGAATGATACTGCGGGGTTATCCTCATCGTTTCTGTGTTCACGCACTGAAGGGGCAGTTCTGTAGTGCTGGGGTGTTAGTGCCTCTGTTGGGATTGTTTCTCTAACACAGTGACTGCCAAAACTGGAAACCTACTGCATGAAATGTTGGGCTATAGTGAAAATGGAGTCAGGGTGGACACACGGGTGATTACAGGATTTTTAAAATGAGGGGCAAATATATGTACTAAACCTAAACTTCGAACATTGCTAAATAATGCTCCGGCTTAAATCCTAAATCTGCAGGGACAAAGACTGTATATAATAGATGGCAGTAAGCACACTGAAATCACTCATTCGTTTCAGGATTCACATTTTAGCGTTTAACCACCACAGCGTTGTTTTTTACCCAGACGTAAACGAGAGGGTGGCGTGCTAATGCTAGTCAGCTTGGTGAGACTGTATGGAGCATCACGCAGATACAGATGATGCTAATTCAGTAACATCAGCCTTCGTCGACTGTCTGTGAGTACTGTACCCTCACAGCAGCGATATTATTGGTCAGATAGTATCATTAAAAAGGCTCCAAAAGGTTCAAGTGAAACTCGCAGCTACAGCCGCCTGTGTCACCATCCACCTGTCAGTCAAAAGGCCACGCCTCTGACAATGCAAACTTTAAGACTTCCTACAATTTAAACACCCTCGCAGCGTACCGTTGTTATGATGGCTGAGATTATCCACAGAGACCAAACATCATGACTCACTGCTGCCTCTGCTGGAGGAGGTGCAGTTATAATCGAGACCTCCTTGTGGCCCCTCCTAATGTCTGCCCGGGCTGTGATGATGTCACAGCACTGTTTCGGGGTGTGACAATCAAATTCCACGTGGGGGCGGGGCTCCAGTAGCCACGCCCATGACTGGAAGTTTTGAAAGTTTAGTAGCTCTCACAGAGCGGACTCGTGCTGGGAGGATAGAAGCCTTTCTCCTTTCTTAACACGTGTAAGTACATTTACTTAATACTTGAGTATAAATTTGTGGTACTTGTTCCTCCATTGAGTCTTTTACTAAGACTTTTACACACACCATGGAGAACTTGTAAAAGTGGGATGATGTTAAAATCGTACAGTTTATGGGCTGAAACGATGAGTCACAACAAAGGTTTCTCACTACTCTAAGAACTTTTACAAATCAAATGGAGGAACACATTCATCTGTTGCTGCAGGTGTCTCGATGCTCCAGCAGTACAATTGTCCGGAGGAATAAAATACAGTAAGTAAGTACAGTTTTCAGATTATACTTATGTTGCAGTCAATTTATGAGGTGATCCACAGGTACTTGTACTTCCTTTACTGCTGCACACACAAAGTTTCCTCGTAAACATCCTGAAATCTGCTGATTTCCTGAAAAGCTCTTTGTTTAGTCACATGTTTATATGTTTCTGAGCTCAGGATTATCTCTGCTCCTGTCTGTCTGGTCACAAATTATTAGTTATGTGTATGTATTCCTATTCTGCTCGAGTTTTACAAAAAGCATCACTTCCACATAGAAAAATATTCTCAACATGAGTCAGTGATGTAAAGCTGTTCATGCTGCAGTGATGAGTAATGACAGGAAAGTTATTTGGTAGTTTTTTAAGCAGACAAATGGAGACGTCTGAAAAATGTTACATGAGCCAAAAAAACAAAGATGGAAAAACTCCCAGGCAAGAAATCATTTTTGTTTTTAAATTGTTTTCTCAAATTTTGGCTGACAGGTGACATCAAACACCTGTGACCAATAATATGTCTGCTGTGAGGTTGCCGTAGTAACAAACTGAGCTCCAGGGTTAATGAGGGAAACTGTTGTTATTGATTAGCAGGTATCTGTGTCTGTAGACTGATAACTAGCTCTTAACTTAGTGCTCCTTCCTCTCATCCAAATATGGTCACTTCCTGAAAACAAGAACCAACATGGCGCAAGAGACATCTCAGGCACTGATGCTTCATCACGCGGAGTGGAGAAACCTCTGATACTGACCTTTATATTCAGTTTGTGAAGACCCGCAGATAATCCTCAATTGTAATTTAGATCTCAGTACTGAGAGTGAAGAAATCAATGATAAGGGTTACCATGGTGACCATGGCAATAGTTTTGCTGAATCACAGCAGCCGGGTGCTCAGTTTAAATCCTGCACTCAGCCTGTTCTTTAGCTCGGTGACTAAGCTCTGCCCGACAGTTACCTCCTGCTCGAAGGCAGATTAGTGCCTCGTTTGGGTCAGGTCAGTCACACATGGCCGTCCTACAGGAACAACACCGGACTAGCTGACGGCTAATCTGACAACATCCACGTCTGCGTCCAGGCCTGCTGGAAAACCTGTAGAGAATCAACAAACCCAGACAACAAACATTCGGCTCTGCAGGATGAGAGCTGACAATCACAACCAGCAGGCTCCTCAGTCAGCTTTTTAAGGAGGGTTAGAGGTTCGAAACTCTATTATCGGCGCGCTCTCACTGTACTGCACAAGGAGTTAGAAAAACAGGTTTTCATTTATTTAACCCAAAAAGTTATATTTACAAAACAAAAATGTTGAGCTCATAAAAAAAACCTAAACTCAGCCAAAGAAATGTGAAACGACTGCCCAAACAAACATAACTGACCCAAACAGGAAATGACACACAAAGGTGTATATATAATGGGCAGCACGGTGGCACGGTGGTTAGCACTGTAGCCGCACAGCAAGAAGGTCCTGAGTTCAATTCCACCATCAGGCCGGGGTCTTTCTGTGTGGAGTTTGCATGTTCTCCCCGTGTCTGCGTGGGTTCCCTCCGGGTACTCCGGCTTCCTCCCACCGTCCAAAGACATGCAACTTGTGGGGATAGGTTAATTGGATAATCCAAATTGCCACTAGGTGTGAATGTGCGAATGAGTGCGAATGGTTGTCTGTCCCTGTGTGTTGGCCCTGCGACAGACTGGCGTCCTGTCCAGGGTGTACCCCGCCTCTCGCCCTATGACAGCTGGGATAGGCTCCAGCGCCCCCCGCGACCCTGAAAAGGAGAAGTGGAAGTGGATGGATGGATGGATGGTATATATAATGGCTGATCAGACCACTATGACAAAACAACGACAACTAAACACAATCACATACCACAAAAACGATGCAGTTCAGTTTGTTAATAAACTAAACAGCAAAGAAGGAAATCAAAAACATTAAACTCAGATATCTAGTTAACTACAAAAACATGTTTAACCTCCTAAGACCCGAACTCTTCCACGGCAGCATTTTTAATTTCTCTTTGATATCTGGGCTGATTGGGACCTAATGAATGTAAAAATTACCAGATTATTTTTACCTGATTTTTATCCATCCATTAGCTTCGGCTTATCCTTTTCAGGGTCGACGGGGGCGCTGGAGCCTATCCCAGCTGTCTTATTTTTCTAAGAAAAATGAGAGCCACAATTCGTTTAAAATTTTGATAGAACAGTATCAGTATAATGCCCTCATAAGTGGATATCAGGCCCTTGTAGAGCAAAATTGAGTATTTTAGTCTAACCCAAAATGCGATGTCCACATATGTGGACGCCAGGTCCTAGGAGGTTAACTAAAGAAAATACACATTCTGCCCCCTTCAACAGGAAGTGGTGGTGTGGTCCAGTCAGCCCATCTATGTATTTAAGTTTTTTAAACACTGGCCAATATCTTTTGTCTGGCAACAAAAGATGCCAGGGATGATGGCAGGTAGGAAACCAGTAAAAGAGACAAAGATTAGTCACAATCAAACCAAAAATCAGAAATGAATTGGTATGAATATATAAGTAAACTAAATGTACGCGCTTGCGAATAGAACAAATGTGTTCAAACCAGTCAATAAACCTATTGCAAACCAAAGTGTGTGATTGTGTTTAGATGAAGGAATGAATTAAAATATGTAAGAGTTGCCCACTTTTAGTGCGGCCATGGTTTTGGCCATCACAAGAGGCTAAGCCTACGCTTGAAGCTACCGAGGTGTTCGTTGGCAGAGGTGACGCAATGCCACTATTATGAATGAAACTTGGTCCAATAACTCCAGCCATACTTATCTTGCCTGTTTAACACATTTATTGCTTTCCATCAGTTGCATTTGTTGTTCAGCAGACTCTTATCAGCGGCCACAAACCGTTTGCTCCTTCTGACCAACAACACCTGACTCTAATTACATGTGTCTACCATAAAAACATGCCATACTGTTAAAACACAAAAAGTGACCACATAAGGTAACAACAACAAACAATGGCTCCTAGAGCACTTTTTTGACCACCGACCCCTCAAAGGTTCATTGATCTCACCGCTGCACCTACAATCGGGTTACAGTCGCGAGCTAACCATTCATGCAGGAAACCCGCCTGCCCTGATGAGTGAATTCATTCAGCTTCTCTTCACACCAACACACGCTTCAATGGTTTAAACTGTAAACGCTATACACAGTCATATTTTTTTCATTCACTTTTGTGGCTCTCCAGCTGTCAGTGGTCTTCTCTGTTCTGTGCTGTTATCAGTTGCTTTACCATGAGACTTGAAAAAACAAAGATTCAGCGGAGTGAACATTGTTTAGTTCTAGTGTGACTGAGGCTTAGATTAGAGCAAGGACTACAGAAATATGTGAGTGCATCATCCAGGCGAGAGTCTGTGATACTGTGTGTACAGGACCAGCTTTACCAAAATCTGTAAGCTTTTACCAAGTCTCTGTGGTACAGCTTAGGTTCAGCTTTTATTTTAGCAACACACTGAAAAAAACATGTACACGGATGATGGATGGATGATGGATGACGTGGATGGATGATGATGTGGGTGGATGGATGATGGATGAAGTGGATGGATGATGATGGATGGATGGATGATGATGTGGGTGGATGGATGGATGATGGATGACGTGGATGGATGATGATTTTGGGTGGATGATGATGGTTGGATGGATGATGGTTGGATGGATGGATGATGATGATTTTGGGTGGATGATGATGGATGGATGATGAAGGATGGATGATGGATGGATGGATGATGATTTTGGGTGGATGATGATGGTGGGATGGATGATGGATGGATGATGGATGATGGATGGATGATGATGTGGGTGGATGTTGGATGGATGGATGATGATGTGGATGGATGGATGATGATGATGATGATCTGGACAGATGATGGTGGATGGGTGGATGGATGATGATATCGGTGGATGGATGATGGATGATGTGGATGGATGATGATGGATGGATGGATTGATGGATTGATGGATGGATGGATGGATGGATGATAATGATGATGATGATGATTATGATGATGATGGATGGATGATGATGGATGGATGGATGGATGATAATGTGGACGGATGACGGTGGATGATGATGGTTGGATGGATGATGATGGATTGATGGACCTTTTTGCTTACATTCTCAGAGGGTCAGCTATGGTTGTCTTAAGCCAGATTCCTTTTATTCACCTTCAGAATACCAACGGCCCCCCTGACCTTATGTTGGATCCCCGGACAGTTTGTCTTTGTATGGATGAGGTGGTCAACAAGCGGCTGGCTGGCAGCCAGCAGACGCCACTGCTGCAGGGACACCTGAAGAAGGTGGACAACAACCTGATGGAGGCCCAGAGGTTCTCCTCATTACCTCGCAGACCCGCGGTCAACATTGAGTTCAAAGACGTCTCCTTCGTGGTCAGAGAGGGACCCTGGTGGAGGAAGAAAGGTAGAGTCATACACAAAACAAAGATGGCAGAGGTTCAGAAAATAAACACACTGTCACTGTAAATTCAATGCCAGCTAATGCCTGAAGGGTGGAAAAAAATCCAGAGCACGATTCAGCCTTGTGTTGTAGCTGGTTTAGTCATTACAGGTCTTGAGTCACGCTCCTATAACAGCAAAAAGTATCAGGACAGCAGGAGGAGCTGGTCTGAATGCTTCTATTTTAAAAGGCTTCCACAGAGATGTGGATCAGGCCAACCTAAGACTGACTAAAGACAGTCACAGTGACCATTGACCTTTGAACACCAACATCAGAGCCGCCCTGAACCTCACAGAGATGCTGAGTCTGCAGAACGCAAGAGAAGATCTGACATAAATGCTTCTGACCGACTCATAAACCCACAAATTTAATCTCAGACGGCTTCACATTTTATAGCCCTGAACAGAAAAAGTATATTCACATGTATATGTATGTGTGTGCATAGATCTATCCATCTGAGGGCTTTATTTGTCCAGTTGGAGAGGTCGAAGGTGATGGCCGACCTCACAGGGTTCATGTCATTCTTTTGACTTTTTATTGTTAATGATGGGCTGTGCGTCAGCAGGCAGCCGTTGGGTGCTCTCGGTTTGGCTGCTGTGTGTTTGTGCGCTCGCTGGATTAGCGGCTGTAATCTGTTAATCTCAGCTGGGTCTTCTGCTGTAAATAGCTGCAGGTCAGATTGGAGGACGCGCCGTCGCTCGCTGCCTGAAAATAAAGACGCAAGAACAAGAAAACAAGCAATGATGTCACCGCTCGTGAACCCGCCCACATCTGAGCTCTGCTCAGGCTTGAGAATGGGTCGGATTGTTATTTTAGGGAATCCCTTCCCATGATACACAGGGTGTTTCTTCTTCACTCACTATGTGTTAATATTCAATTTTCAATTCAATTCAATTCTATTTACACAGCTCCAAATCACAACAACCGTTGCCTAAATCCACTTTAACTTTAAATCCTACTGTAAGGTCGACCCTACAATAACACATACAGAGAAAAACCCAACAATCATATGACCAATGTGAGCAAGCACTTTGGTGACAGTGGGAAGGAAAAACTCCCTTTTAACAGGAAGAAACCTCTGACAGAACCAGGCTCAGGGAGGGGCGGGGCCATATGCTGTGATTGGTTGGGGCGAGAGAAGGAAGACAGGATGCCGGAGGTTTCTTCCTGTTAAAAGGGAGTTTTTCCTTCCCACTGTCACATAGTACTTGCTCATAGAGGGTCATTTGATTGTTGGGGTTTTCTGTTTTCCTTCTATCATTGTACGGTCTTTACCTCATCTTACCTCTGATTGGTCCTGAGCAAGAAAATGAACATAGTGCTTGTGTAAAGCTGTGCCGGGAACCTCTAGCTGAAACTAGATCTGTTAGAGACTCTGATAGCCTCAGGTTACAGACCATTATTATGGAGCTCAGCCAAACTCTTTGTTCATATTAGAAAAGCTGAGTTTCACTGAGAACATTTCACACCTGCTCAGGTGCACGAAAACAGCGTGCACCTGAGCAGGTGTGAGTTTGAAAACATTTACAGGTTTTCTATTGTAATTTTCACACAAAACCTTTGATTGGTTCTTTGATGCTTTTCAGGCCAACAGAATCTGTTAACATGCGATCACATGTTATTAAAAGGCCAGAAAGATAAATCCATGAAGCAGAGTTGCAGATGAAGACGTGAGGGTTGATGTAATGGGGCATGTACGAGGCGCTAACAGGCTAGAATAGTTGTAATAGCTGTCTTTCTGCTCTTGGTCGTGGCCCCCGAGTACCACCCGTTCTCCATCATGGACTTCAGGGAGAAGTCCATGTGTTCTCTGGTTTGAAGGATGTTCAGCTTCAGGTTATTTTCTGAGCACCAGCAGGACAAGTTCTCTACCTCCACCCTGTACGCCGTCTCATCTCCATCAGAGATGAGCCCAACCACAGCAGTGTCATCGGCATACATGACGATTGGCTGGTGGGTTGGTGTACAGTCATGTGTGGTACTGAGTTGAGGACGTTCATCTGGGTGTACAGTGTGCGGAGGTAGTGTTGGTCAGATTAAATCTAATAATCTCATTAAAGCGCGTTTAGCCTCTGTGTGTAACGTGTAACACACTCCTCAGTTTTAATAACGACAACCTCAGAAACCTGGTCTCTGAGACAGGTTTTCAGGTGTCAGCACATTCTTCATGGTTTCTCAGCCCGGCACACACGTTCTTACATGTGTGCTTCACTGTGTTTCAGTCATGAGTGACTGTTTGCTTTGAGACTGTGAAACTTGTGGATAAGTCTGATGCTGAGCTCACTGTGAGGACAAAACACTAACAGCAGATTACTGAAGATGTTTTCATGATTGCTGCAGGGTTTTTGGACTCACGCTGATGTAAATGTTCTGGTTGGTCACACTATGATCAGGGTAGCTGCTCGGAGTAAGTGAGGGACAGCTGAAGGGTTGGGAGGGTCTCTGATGGACCTGCAGATGTGCTTCAGACATCTGCAGGTCCAGGAGAAACGTGGTCTGTTTCGGGACGATGCACGAGCCTCACCGAGTTCCGTAACTGACCTGAGTACAGTCCAGACCGTCGGCACTGAAACATCAGCAGTGAGCCTTTAGGATGAGCGGGAGTGTTTGTTTTTTGCACAGAAGCCGAGCGGCTAAAGTGTGAGAGCAGCTGCTGGTCTGCATGAATGAGAGAAAAACTCCAAACTGATGGGAAACCTGAGCCGAGAGTTCGAGCACAAAGAGCGGCTCTGTGAGCGGCTGGGAAACCTGCACATTGATTGTTTCTGTTTGCCTCAGGTTACAAAACTCTGCTCAAAGCCATCTCTGGGAAATTCACCAGTGGGGACCTGGTGGCTATCATGGGGCCCTCAGGAGCCGGAAAGTCCACGCTCATGAATATCCTGGCCGGGTACAGGTGGGTGCATCCATCAGGGCGGAGATGATGACTGAGTGTGAGGTTGAGGTCATAGCGCTCTCAGCTGCAGATGTTTTAAAAATGTTTTCAGATCATGTTACATCTCAGTCTGAGAGCTTTACCGCATCCTCACATCGGCCTGCTGTACCTCTGTGTGTGTCAGTAAATGCTAGTGAAGAATCTGATTACTGATTGCAGGTCAGTGGATCTGTCCAGAGCGCGCTCAGTGCACGTCTGTCTTTGCGTACAGGGAGACGGGGATGAAGGGCGAGATCTTGATCAACGGGCAGCCCAGAGACCTGCGCTCTTTCCGGAAGGTTTCCTGTTACATCATGCAGGACGACATGCTGCTGCCTCACCTCAGTGTCCAGGAGGCCATGATGGTAGGTGCTGCTGAGCCTCAGCGTTCAGCCTACTGCAGACCGCAGTAATCGCAGACCCTGCTCTCTGTTTCTGCAGGTGTCGGCCAGCCTGAAGCTGCAGGAGAAGGAGGAGGCGCGCAGAGACATGGTGAGCCGATCGCTCCTGGCCTCCCTGATCTCAGACTCTACCCTCAGGCTGAACTCGGATCTCTGCTCCTTCAGGTCCGGGACATCCTGATGGCTCTGGGTCTGCTGGAATGTGCTCAAACCAAGACGTCTCACCTGTCGGGGGGGCAGAGGAAGCGGCTGGCCATCGCTCTGGAGCTTGTCAACAATCCGCCGGTCATGTTCTTTGATGAACCCACGAGGTAAGAAATCAGGTTGACCTCCAGGTCCTCTCCGTGGTTCATCCCAAGCTGGCAGAAGGTCACAGAAGGTCGGATATCAGTCCTGACCACGGTGCTCTGTCCTCAGCCAATGAAAAGCAGCTGAACCATTCCACTCAGTCAGCTCAGTCTTCCTAACCAACTTTAAATCTTTGCACTAAAGCAATTTTTGAATCGCGCAGGCTGAACGCTTTTAGAGCCTTTCAGACTGTGCAGACTCATTTTAAACGTTATGCCTGACACATAGGATCATGCAGGGAGACCTGTGGTTCGACTCCTGGTCCCGCCACTCACCTGTGTGAAATGGTTTCGCTGCCTCAGAGATCAGTCGTGCCAAAGCACAGCTGTTTTATTTTTACTTGACTTATTTCAGACGTTTGATCAAAACAAGCTGTACTTCAAATTCTACATGTGAGTGATGTTTGGTCATGTTTCTGCTTCATGCTGAGCTTCTATGAAGGTGTGTGTGTGTGTGTGTGTGTGTGTGTGTGTGTGTGTGTGTGTGTGTGTGTGTGTGTGCATCAGTGGCCTGGATAGCTCGTCATGTTTCCAAGTGGTGTCTCTGCTCAAAGCTCTGGCTCGAGGAGGACGGACGGTTATCTGCACCATCCACCAGCCGAGCGCAAAACTGTTCGAGCTCTTCGACAAGGTGACCCTCCTCCACGTTACACTGACTCACTGCACCATCTAGTGGTGTAAACTGGTATCACATGAACGTGTGGCTGGACAATGCACAGAAGTGTTAGCAGCGGTTCTTTTTCTGAAGATCTGAAACAGTTTGAAATATTTATAGAAGCAGCTCTAATGTCAGAAGCAATAAATAAATGATTACATTTCCTTCAGTGGGTTAGAGGGTCATCTGCTAATCAGTGTGTGAGGGGGGCAAAGAGCTTTTAAAGGGGATAAAATCAAGTTTGTGTAGAGGAGTAAATGTGGTGTAAAGAAGCTTCGAGTGAGCACTTGTAACAGTTTGTATGATGGGGTGAAATCCGTTTCCTCCTGCTCAGGTTTTAAGGATGAGAGAAGAACAGGAAGTGCTCTACAAAGGTGTTTGGAGCTGAAAACCTTGGTGTGGGTCCACAGAATGATAAGAAACATGATTCAGTGCGGGTTTCACTTGTGTCTGTCTCTCTGTGTGTGTTTCAGCTGTACGTGCTGAGTCAGGGTCAGTGTATCTACAGGGGACAGGTGTCCAGTCTGGTCCCGTACCTGAGAGACCTCGGGCTTAACTGCCCCACGTACCACAACCCCGCTGACTTCGGTAAGACTCGCCCGGCGAGCTGTTCCCACTCGGCCGTCGCAGCGTCAGACTCACTGATGGGTTCTGTGCGCAGTGATGGAGGTGGCATCCGGAGAGTACGGGGACCAGATGATCAGGCTGGTGACGGCAGCTCAGGAGAAGAAGTGTGAGAAAGACCACCAGCCCGAGCTCAACGGAGACAGCACCCTCCACCCCTTCCTGTGGCAGCGCACAGAGGAGGTAAAAAAACAGCACGCCCTCTGCTGTGATTGGTTGATGAGAGGCAGGTTTTCGCTTTACCTCCTGTGAATGTTTCATGACGAATGAGTCCTTTGAAAATCAACATGTACCTGTGATGATCTCCCGTCAGGAGAGCTCATCGTCTGAAGGCTGTCACAGCTTCTCTGCTAGCTGCATGACGCAGTTCTCCATCCTGTTCAGGAGGACCTTTCTCAGCATCCTCAGAGACTCGGTGACAAACACCTCCGTACACGTCACCTCAGATTCACACAGATGACACCATTTTTCCATCACTCTGACATAACAATTATCATTACCATTTATACTGGTGTGATAAAGTGTTTGCCTCCTTCCCAATTTTCTATTTTTTGTATTTTTGTTATGTTTTAGATCAAACAAATTTAAATATTAGACAAAGATAACACAAGTAAACACAAAATGCAGTTACTAAATGAAGGTGTTTATTTTTAGAGGAAAAATATCCAAACCAAGTGATGGCCCCCTAAACTTAAAAACTGGTTTGGGCCACCCTCAGCAGCAACAACTTCAGTTCAATTCAGTTTTATTTATACAGCTCCAAATCACAACAACAGTTGCCTAAATCCGCTTTTTACTGTACGGTCGACCCTACAATAATACATGCAGAGAAAAACCCAACAATCATATGACCAATGTGAGCAAGCACTTTGGCGACAGTGGGAAGGAAAAACTCCCTTTTAACAGGAAGAAACCTCCGGCAGAACCAGGCTCAGGGAGGGGCGGGGC